TCCTGTACAAGGAAAGATGAGAGACCTGGGGCTCATCTGTCTGGGGAAGAGAAGGCTGAGAGGGGGTATCATAACTGTTTATAGGTATCTGTAGGATAGAGTCAAGTCGTTGGGAGCAGGCTCTTTTCAGTGGTGTGCAGCAATAGAACATGGAGCAATGGGCAGAAAATGGAACACTGGAAGTTCTGTATTATCACAAATAATTTCTTTCTTGTGAGAGTGACAGAGCACTGACATAGGCTGCCCAGAGAAGTTGTGGTGTCTCCTTCTCCACAGGTGATTCAAGACCCTTCTGAGTGCCTTCCTGTGGAACTTACTGTAGGAATCTGCTTTAGCAGAAGGGTTTGATTTGATGATCTCTAAAGATCCCTTCCAAACCCTACAATTCTGTGACTCTATGATTTCTGGAGCTTGGAGGGTAATTTTTGGATGCACGTGTCCACTGCTTACTGCATATTGCTTATTAACAATGAACAATTTTCAACTGGTAAAATCAAGGTAAAGGGCTCTGCACTGAATCCGTCAGCCACTGTCATCAGAATCCTTTTACAAAATGTTTCATGACAGTGAAAGACAAAATGTATTTTTCTGAGTCCTTTGAAGAAGTTGCATTATATGTATGTACTACATGGGATGAAAAAGTCAATTTAGGGTTAATTTTCACAGAATCACACAGAATTGTAGGTGTTGGAAGGAACCTCCAGAGATCATTGAGTCCAACCCCCTGCCAAAGCAGGTTCCCTACAGCAGGTCGCACAGGTCGGCATCCAGGCAGGTCTTGAACATCTCCAGAGAAGGAGATTGCACCACCTCCCTGGGCAGCCTGTTCCAGTGCTCCGTCACCTCACTGTAAAGAAGTTAAATTTTAATGCTTCTGTAAGTGAAATGAGATACAAGTTTGCTTTTTGAGCTCACCAACATACCACATTGGTCTCTAGATTTCATAGAATCGTAGAATCCTTAGTGTTGGAAGGGAGCTTTAGAGGTCATCTCGTCCAGCTCCCCTGCAATGAACAAGGACATGCACTGGTAAATCAGGTTGCCCAGGACCTGATCCAGCCTGGCCTTGAAAGATTCCAGGGATGAGGCACCCTGGAATCACATCTCTGGGCAACCTGTGCCAATGCCTCACCATCCTCACTGTAAAAGGTTTTTTCCTTGTATCTAACGTAAATCTCCTCTCTTTGAGCTTGAAGCTATTTCATCTCCCAACTTGTATTGGCAGTGAGGGTTGTATGAACCTAGGTGCAAACCTTGCATTCGGATTTGTTGAACCTCATGAAGTTCACCTGGGCCCACTGCTCAGCCTGTCTGTGTCCCTCTGGATGGTATCCCATCTGTCTTGTGCATCAACCACCCCACATAGCTTGATGTCATCAAACTTCTCTCATCGCTGATAATTATGTGGCTTTTCGTTACCCCAAAGCACGTTCACTTTGGCCTCCAATCTGACCAGAAATTATTGTGCAAACACTGAGAAATCCTTCTAAACTCGCAGTACAAAGGAGCAGCTCCCAGGAAAAAGACAAATTTTATTCCATGGAGGTTCAAAGATGCTTTAAAGTGTATTGCTTTCATGTCCTCTCGTACTCCATGTTTTGTCAGCTTGGTGGAAGGAACTGTGCCAAGAATTATCGCAGTAAAAGGGTCATGTTTTGCCTTTGCCTAAATGTGTCTGCTTTCACAGTCAATATCTGCACACGTTTTATGACAAAATTTGGCTCTCAGTTCAGAAATATTTTGCATCCAGTAAATGCCTTCACAGATAATCAGACGCGCTGTTTGGAATATCCCCCCCGAGTAACTTCACTACATTTCCTAGCAAAGATCTGTTTTAGTACCTTTGCTCCCCTCGTGAGGGTGTTTCTGCCCATCTGTTTCTTGTCAGCACCAAACTTGGGCAAGTGCCACTTCTCGTAATTGCTTTTTTCTCCATGTTTTTCTAAACATTGCTTGGCAAAGTTAACATAGGAGTTTGGAGATTTGTCATCCTTTCAGGAGGAGAGCATCATCTTAGCAATTGATGAGGAATGATTAAAGTGTAACGGGTGTATTTACTTTTTAGATTGCATGGATTTACATGTTGCAAGACTTAAGGTGTTTGAGAGATAAAAAAACAAACAAATCCAACCACAAAGAACAACACTTTCCTCTGTTTGTTTGTTTTCCAGGGAGGAAAGGAAATCAAAGGCATTGAGAATTATCATTAACTGCTTCTTCTTATTCCAATTCTGAGTCTCTCATAATGATGCATTTCCTGGAGGTGGAACATATATATTGGGGCAAAATGGGGCAGAGGAAGGGATTTTCTTTTGTGGTACCAGCATGAGAGCTCAGAGCTGGCTGTAGTTCTTGGTGCTCATTATAGAATCACAGGACCCTTGAAGTCCATCTGTCCCACTCCCTGCACTGCACAGGGGCACCCACAGCTCCATCAGTGCTCACAGCCCATCCAGCCTGACCTTGGCTGTCTGCAGGGATGGGGGAACAGCCACCTCTGGGCAACCTGTGCCAGTGCCTCACCACCCTGACTGTAAAAAACTTCTTCCTTATATCCAGTCTAAATCTTCACCTCTTCTGGTCTGAAACTATTCCCCCTGTCCTCTTGTCCCACCAACATATCCTGATAAAGACTGTCTCCTCTCTTACAGCTCCCCTTTAGACACGGACAGGCCACTCTCAGGTCACCTCGCAGCCTTCTCTTCTCCATGCTGCACAGCTCCAGCTCTCTCAGACTGTCCTTGCAGGAGATCCTTCAAAAATGATCCCTGGGATCATTTTTGTGGCTCTCCTCTGGATGCACTCCAACAGCTCCATGTCTGTGACTCCAAATTCCCCTTCTGTATCATTCCCTTTCTGTACCAGATGACACACAGCAGTGTAGAAACAACAAGGACAGTGATTTTTCTTTACACAACCTTTCTGAGGTGCCAGAAAACAGTGTGTGGTGTGTTGGGCTGCAGAGGTATTTAACAGGGATTATCTGAACTCAAGGGCCCTGGCTCATGGCTGAGGTTCACATGTCCCTCTGCAAAAGATTTGAAGTGCTGTGGAAGTGCCTGCCCAGGGATTAGCCCTAATGCCTTATGCCTAATGATTTCTTTTAATTAGAAGGTGATATTTAACAGCTTGGCTTTGTGCTGCTTTCCAAGATGGGCCAACCGTGCTTCAAAGACAGATAAAGATAAGTGTTCTGCCAAGTACTCCAGCTGCTTTAACACGCTTATAAGCCTCTGTTACAACTAAAACATGCAGTGTATTCTTAGAAGAAAGTGAATCTCTCTCCTCTCTAGTCTATGTAAAGTGAAACACTTGTCTGTTATGACAGTTAAGTTATCCTTGCATGTCCAAGTTGGTTCTTCTGGACACGTCAGAGTACTTACTGAACCTCACTGCTCTGAGCTGTTTCTGAGATCAGGTGCAAATCAGTGTCACATTTTTCAGGTTCATGCTTTTGTCTTAGAAGATTGCCACTTTACTTTGGGCCTGATGGCCATAGGTTGGCAGTCAGACTAAGTGATTTTAGTGGTCTTTTCCAACCTTTATGATTCTATGATTTATGCCAGAGGAATCTGAAGATTTATGCCAGAGGAATCTGAAGACCCCAGACACCACTGGGTGATGAGCCCTAAATTTGTTTATTTTGGGGCTTCATTGCTTTCTTTGATTCTGGTTGCCATCTGCTTCTTGCCCATGTCACATAGTGCTCGTTCCCCATGCATACCGCATAGATGCAGTGTGCTCTGAGCCCCCTTCAGTGTATACTTCCAATTAGCAAGTTTAAAGATGAGCACCCCCTCCTCCTGCTTCCTTTCACTGAGCTGAAGCTTTAATGTCTCTACCAAAAAAAAAAAAAAGGTTATTTTGATCCACTGTGAAACTGTTGGTTGTTTCTGTCTGTCTTTTGTCTCTTAGTTTTACTTTGAACAACTGTGGTTTTGTTTAATGCCTGGCAATCTCTGCATAGCTGTTCTTGTCCCCATGTGTTTTTCTTTTTGGGGGAGGATCAGTCAATCATATTCCTACTTCACTTTGCTCAGAAAGGATGCAAGAGAAGAGTACCTCACTCTTCAGTTGGAAAGTTTCAGTTCTGTAAATTGGATTCTGGAAGTATGCCTTGGAGATGGGCACTGCCTGTGTGTTTCTGCAGAAGGAGTTCTCAAGTGCCTCAGAGAGAGGAGAACAAGAAGAAAAGGAAAGAAGCAGACTGCTCCCTAATTGCCCTTAAGGAGTTCTTTCCCTTAAGCATGAACCTACAATTGCAGCATGTTGCTGAAGAGTTGTTTCAGCCTTTTTCTCCTCTCTTGCCTTCCCGTGTCTCGCTCCCAAGGTCCTCCATTGACTGGGTGGTCCCATTCCCTCCTGTGACAGCAGTGCATGGCAGTGAGTCAAGTAACAGAGTTATGGCCCTGTGGCACAGTTGGCTGCTGCTGTCTCAGGAGATGCCTTCAAGTGATTATTTCAAACCTTTCAAAAGCAAAAGCGCCAAGCACTGAATAGGGAGCAACGTTTGTAGTCAAAGCCTTCGTGTCAAAGCCCAGTTGTGAAAGAGAGAATTTGGTGGGAGCACAGAAGCAGTCCTTCTGGCACGGGACCAATATGTTGTCATTAGCAAATTAGTAAGCATGGCTAAAATCTAAACTAAATTGAGGTACTGGAGAAGGAGAAAGTTGTGGGGAGGGACTGGAGCTGAGGATTGCACCAAGCAGAGTGACCTCAGACCTCTTTGCCATCTGGTTGCTCAACGCTGTGCCCTTTATCGCTCCATGTAAGAAATGTCTGTGCTGTGAATTTGTGCTTGTAGTTGAAGTTCAGGGATGCCTCTGTTGCTTTGGTTAATGCATTCATCTGCCCCTTCAGAGTGTGTCAGCAGAACACGTTAGGATATTAATGCTTGGTCCTTATGATAATCCCAAAATTTCAGATGTCAGTTCTGGCGTTTACCAGCTGGACAATGTGTAACCCCTTATTGAACGATGCCCTGCTTTTCACTCCTGCAGGCTGTCCCACGGATTATGGTTCAGTCTGCCACTATCGATGCCAGTGCTGCAAAGATAAAGCAGGTAAGCACACCATAGCGTGTTAAGAAACAGTTTCTATATTCACATCACTGAAAACCAGAGGCAGCAAAAGCCACGTAAGCCTGTGGCACTTTTGCTGTCACTTCATGGTCAGACAATTAAATGCAGTATGCGTTGCTGTGTTTTCTTAGGTCTTGCTAAAGTCTCCCCTCTGGTGCTGGCTGTGCTTCTATACTTAAAAGCCTGGCTAATCATATGATTGTATTTGCAGTTAAGTAGCTAACATTTAGCTGTTTTGCTGCTTTAAAAGACAAATTGCTTTGCCCTGATGCTTTCTATAAACAGAACGAGTCTGTTATTCTGAGTGCTGAGCTTAATTCTTGATTTTACATTTCGAGCCAATTCATGATATCGGCTTGAAAAAAGGCTCTTGTAAGCAGGGCAGAAAATAGACCCTATGATCTCCCACAGTTCAGCAGAACTTCAGTCTTGTGAATAGCAAATCAGCTTTCTCCCACTGTGCTTTTATTGTCTTAGTAAAATGTGTGTTATCTGAACACAGCTTAAAAGGGAAAGCCCAAAGAAAGAACAGAATTCCAGAGTTCACATCTACAGCACCCGCTCCGCAGAAAAGCTGGAAGTGTTTTCAATCCACTGCAATGTTTCAAACAACTTTTCTGTATTATATCTTACTTAGCAATAGCTTTGGCTCCTGAAGCTCTTGTAATTCAATCAAATCCCTCTTTCACTGAATGCCACTTAAGTTCCCAGTGAGAAAGATATTTCAGAACAAGGTGCAAGTCCTGTTGTTTGGGACACTTTAGTATTAAATGGGAAGAAGACAATATTTTGAACAGTAAACAAGTATGTGCACTTGAGAGTTAACAGGTAGGTCCACGCCTGCCTTCCTCCAACCACTTTTTCTTCTTCATATTAGCAGCCACCTCCTTCCCTCCCAAAGAGATTTAGAGACATCCTAATCTTTTAGAGTACATGAGCTGGCACAAGATATTGATCTATCAGATTTAGTAAACTTTACAGCCAAGAAATACATCACTAAAATGGGCTGTTAATCTCATGAGGTGCAGTTAATTTCATACCCTGGAAGTGTGTGGTGCTGGTGACAGTGAGGTGGGAATGGCATTTGGGAACGGGAACATAAATGACAGTTTAGCTGGAAAGCTGTGATTTATCAGTCCTGAAAGTTAAGCCAAATAACTGAGAGAGGCTTATAGATCATGACTGTTTCACATTTCGTATAAATCCTGCTATTCAAACAGCAAATGACCATTCCTGCAATATAAATAATTTTTCAGTAAATATTGGGGAGCGTATTTCTTTTAGTCATTGCTTTTCTTATTAATGGAAGAAATGAGCTGACAATCCTGCCAGATTTGTAAAGCTGACTTCAGATCAACTTCGTCTTCTGGAGACTGTGGCTACGTGGGGGTGTAGATATGCCGGAGGCCTTAGTGCTTCTCAGAGACCTTGTATCTGCCCTTTAGACCCAGAGAGTTTGGATATCAGAGTTCTATGGTCACTGTCCTCTTCTGTTTCAGCTGAACCAAGAGGCAGCAGGGAAACGACCATTCGAAGCTGCGGTACGGATGTCAGAGGTGGAAAAGAATCCCGAAAAGATGCCCAAAATGCCTTTGCAGCAGCCCACGGGAGATGCCCAGGCTCAGGACTCCCAGGAAGGGCCTCCAAGTCCTCTGAGCGAAGCCTCCAGCGGGTACTTTTCCCACAGTGTATCAACAGCCACCCTCTCTGAAGCCCTCACAGCAGGGAGTGATGCTGTGGTTCAGCCAGGGGGACAGACACCTGCCCTAAGTGACTTCCCAGCTCCTGCTGTGGCTCAGGGATCTTCAGACATGCCGGGACACTCGGACAGTCCTTTGGAAAGCTGTCTCAACAGTAAGGGGGAGAGTCTACCCACCCCCAGCCTTCCTGGTGCTCACACAAGATCAAAAGACAGCACTGAAGTGAATGGGAGTGATGCTTTGAAGTCAAAATCTTCTGCATCTCCTGTGACTCACAGTGAGCAGGCAAATGATGCCTCTGTAGCCACTGATGCAAAAACCTTTCATTCTACCTCTGCTCCAAGGATGGAGTCATCTAAACAATTGATGGAGTCAGCAGGACAGGCTGTCAGGAGAAAGGAAACAAGTTCTGGGGCTTCCGAACTGGGGGCTCCCAAACCACAGGTTCAGCCCAACCAATCGTCCCAGCCCAGCGTTGCCGCCTCCCCCTTCAAAATCCAGAAAGTCAAAACTTCAGAGCTCAAGTCCTTCACCAGCATGTTGGGGACTGATCCCTCGTGTTCACTAAACGCAGAGGAGGAGCAGCAGGAAGGAGAAAAGAGCGCATCTGCAGCACATGGCCTGAGCCATAACGGGTCAGAGATGGCAGAAGAAAAACTGGAAGTAGTTTCTGACTCTGAAGATGGCAATGAGATTCCCGAGTGGCTGAAAGAGGGAGAATACGTCACTGTTGGTGCAAACAAGACAGGCATCGTTAGATACATTGGGCCCACGGATTTCCAGGAGGGAACGTGGGTTGGTGTTGAACTGGATTTACCTTCAGGTAAGATGCTCTAGATTGAGTGCAACATAGGCAGCATTTTGGAGTTTGCGGTGTTTGTTGTAATGTTGGCAATCAGGAAAAAGAGGTGGTCAAACTTTTTGTTGAGTTTCTTTTGTCATTCCTTCCTGACTCTTACTTTTAGGCTTCCCAGACTTTATATAACAAATAATTTTTAGAAACTAGGGTACCATTCTTGGAGAAGATTTGCTTCCATGTGTCATTGGAGCGTGGTGCAGAAAAGCAATGATTGGGGAAGAAGCACTTTAAAACTACGGAGGTGAGAGGAAAGGAGGTGATAGCTGGCATTTGTTCTCTACTGGAGCCTCAGGCTTCACAGTTCCTTCCCTTCACAGGTTCACATCAGCTTTCATGGCACTCGTTTTCTCTGTTGTCCAAGAGCAGGCAGGATGTGCCAGTGGAAGACTCAGGAGAATCATAGAATCACAGAATCACCAAGGTTGGAAAAGACCTCTAAGATCATCCAGTCCAACCGCCCACCTACCACCAGTATTGCCCACCAAACCATGGCCCTCAAAACTACATCTGAGCATTTCTTGAACACCTCCAAGGACGGTGACTCCACCACCTCCTGGGCAGCCTCACCACTCTTACGGAGAAGAAATGTTTCCTAGGAAGTGACCATTAGATAACATTGACTTTCACAGTGAGAGAGTGGTTTATAAAGAGCACTCAAAGCTGCTTATTTAAATTCTTTTAGCCAAGCTACAAAATTCTAAAGCTGCAATGCAGGCTGTGGTTGGTGAATCAGCACGTCTCAAGGAGTTGCCCACATTCTGCTGCATGCTTCTCTGAGATTGGAGCTGCTCCCCAAGATAAGAAGTGTCTCCAGGATCCAGGACTCCCATTTAAATGAGCACTTATCTTTCCCATGCGTGGTGTGCTCATAAAAGCTAAACTAGACTGCGTGCTTTTAGCTGGGTACAGAAAACTGCCTGGATTTGCCATCCCAGAAAGCAAACTGTAGCTCCAATCCTTCTGAAAGTTGTAGGCACTATTCTCTGAATTCTTTGCTTTCTCATGCTTTATTTTAAGAATGTATGTATTTATAGACTCACTGCAGTTTTGAAGTCACATTCCCTCCCTGTCTGGTCCACTGACTAGTCGGTGAGCATCAGCTTAGCCTTCCTTGGAAGAGTCTTGTGGCTAAGAGATGTTGGTCATGTTGAAGACTCAGCTGCTGGTGGTTTTGGATATTCTTCTGTTTCCACAAAGATTTAGGTCCCTGATTTTGTAGAGACATAGAATGGCTTGGCTTGGAAGGGACCTTAAAGCCCGCTCAGCCCTAACACCTGCCTTGGGCTGGTTGCCACCCACCAGCTCAGGCTGCACAGGGCCCCATCCAGCCTGGCCTTGGGCACCTCCAGGGATGGAGCATGATTTGTTGGAGCACAGTTGTCTTCTAGCAGACTGTAGCTTCCCTTGGGAAACACAGTCACAAGCTGGTGTCTTTGGACTGGGAGGAACCTTAAAGCCCATCCAGTCCCAAGCCTTGCCATGGGCAGGGATGAACCAAGGCCAGTTCTACTGCAGCTGCTTCCTATGTTTTTACTTGGATATAAAACCAGCTGATGGGTTTTTTATCTTATGCATTCCTCAAGGGAGGCTTCTCCCACTTATCTGCTCCTCTGGAGCTTGAAGATTTCTTTCTCTGTCGAGTTCATTGATCACGAGCTCTTGTTTGCTCTCATACAAGCTTTGTACTGATGGTGCTTGCTTTCCTGCTTGTTTACCTATTAAGAGGGAATACAGCATTTTGTTCTGCAGGAACAAAGTGCTTCCAGTGCCCTCCTGTATAATAGTTTCTAAGTCTGTCATCATCATAGTAGCTTTTATTTTCAACGAAAGTCTTCCCTGCAGCATGGCACTGTCTTTCAGCCCAGGCTGCTGTTGTCGCTCCTTTATCCATACACTTCTCTACTTCTGTAATAGCCTGCATGACTCTGCACGGAGCTGTTACTGAGCAGCTCAGCCAGGAGATTTATGCATTGTTTTTAACCTTAAAAACAAAGGAAAACCCTATCCATTTAGTCTGACAAAAACTATAATTAGTATAGCCCTCTGGCATTATATTGTTCTCAGGCATCGTGTTAGTTCAGTCCTTCAACTTGTCTTTAAGCATTTTGTAACTGTGACTCAACCTTCATCTGAGGCAGAATCAGCCCAGTTAAATCCCTGGCTCTCTTAAACCCCCCATCCTTGTCCCTGCTGCTGATAATAAAAGAATCACAGAATCACAGAATGGCCTGGGTTGCAAAGGCCCACAGTGCTCATCCAGTTCCAACCCCCTGCTGTGTGCAGGTCGCCAACCAGCAGCCCAGGCTGCCCAGAGCCACATCCAGCCTGGCCTTGAATGCCTGCAGGGATGGGGCATCCACAGCCTCCTTGGGCAACCTGTGCCAGTGCCTCACCACCCTCTAGGGGAAAAACTTCCTCCTAAGTGCCCTGGGGCCCTGCGTGAGTTTCCTCGAGTGCTGGGTAGCAGCACACCCTACGCACAGAGCAAAAGCCATTTTGTGCAGCAGTGGCACAGCTGCCCAGGGAGGTGGTGGGGTCACCAAACCTGGAGGTGTTCCAGAACCATGGGGCTGTGGCAGTGAGGGATGTGGGCACAGTGGGGTGAGGTTCTAGGGATCATAGAGATCTTTTCCAATGTTAATGATTCTGTGATCTCTGTTTCTTTTCAAAGGGAAGAACGATGGCTCCATTGGAGGAAAGCAGTACTTCAGGTGCAACCCAGGCTATGGATTGCTCATGAAACCAGGCAGAGTTAAAAAGGCCGCAGGACCAGCGAGGCGACGGAGCACCGGCGTGAGGTTGCAGGGAGCAGCATCCAGCGAGAACAGGAGGAGTGGCAACTTCTCTGCTTCAGCATCCAGCCTGGCTTCACTCACAGCCCTGGCTGCCAAGTCAGAAGCAGGACCCACAATTCGCATGGAGAAGAGCCAGAAAAACGCAGAGAACAGGAAATCCTGGGCGAGCTGAGAGAGTGGCCTGCTGCAAAGCGCCGCAGCTGTGGGCCCCCATCTTTTAGCTTCAGCTGGCTAAAAGCAGGCCTGTGAACTTGTGGTTTGTGGCAAACACTAATGAAGGGTTTTTTCTCTGCTTTGGGTGACTGGCATGTTCATTCCTTGCCTTGCCATGGTGCTGGGTCTACAGCCATAGTTTCGTGTTACATGTTGTGATGCTGAGGTGTAGGGTGACTGTGAGCTCTGCTCTCCTCCACCTCCCACAGAAGGAGGAGATGAGAGTTGTTCAAATTATGGCATGACTTCTAGTGGCTACAAAACCCTGCCTACACCTCAGTGCTTCTCTGAGCACGAGTCCCCAAAAGAATCAATTCTGTCTAATTTTGTGAGAGCTATATTCCATAATGCATGGTGAAAGGGCAAGATAATGATCCCAGATGGGCAGAGAAGGGAACATATCTGGTAATGAGGAACCCCTCAAAAAACTCTTTCATTTAAAAAAACAGTAGCCCTCTGGTTGTGTGGCCCAGCATCAGTGCCTGGTTTGGTTTCTGTTCTGTTATCCTGTTATCTGTATCTGTTATTCTGGTATCTGTGTAAATCAGCCCAAAATTTATTGCTGATGGGAATGAGAGCAGGCCCATGACCCGCTCTGTAATATTTTGGATCCCTTCTTTTCACAGAGGAGGAGAGTTAAACGAATTTGCCATCTCAGATTCATTTAGTGTGTGCTCTCACCATGCTGTGCTCCTCTCACTGCCCCAAGCACTACAGGAACTTCCCATTTGCTCTGCCTTTTGGGTCAGGAGGATTTTGGCAGAGATGGCACTGCAGTGCTCCCATGTCCCCAACCTTTTGTTGGGTCCTGCCTGCTGCTCAGTGGAGCATCCTGCCCAACCTTTGGGTCTTTGCCCAGCCTTTGGGTCTTCACCCAACCTATGGGTTTTCATCCAGCCTTTGGATTTTCACCCAGCCTTCGGATTTTCACCCAGCCTTTGGGTCTTCACTCAACCTTTTTGTCTTCGCCCAACCTTTGTGTCTTCGCCCAACCTTTGGGTCTTCACCCAGCCTTTGGTTTTCACCCAGCTGTTCAAAGCAGAGGCTTGCTGCTCTTGTAACAGGATGAATCCAGTGTATTTATTTGTATTTATTGTGTTGAACTGAGCAAAGGTTGCGCTTTACAATCATCCGCCGTCCGGCGTTGTGCTGAGGAGAGCAGTGCTAAGGGGAGCCCAACCCAGTGACATGGAAACAAACCCATGACAGAGTCTTCCCCAAACCAACCCCTCCCAGAGGTGGAGGGTTGGCCTGGCTTTTATAAAACTTGATTTTATTTTTAGTGAACCTTACTAGTTTTTAACACCCTGTGGCACAAATTACATACCTGTATATACGTGTGCACATACCTGCGTACACCCATTTTCTAACAAATCAAGAAAGGCCACAGGCTTTTATATTCTGAGCTGTTTATACCTTGTTTAAGGAATCGGGGGGGGATTGGACAGCTTGAGCAATAAACGTTTTATCTACTTGGGGAATATTTAGGATGCTGAATTAATGATTTCACTTTAATACGTATCTAGTCTCTGTCCGTGCTGCATGTGGGTATCAAAGTGCCTTAGCCATCTGGTTCAGAGGTCCAAGGGAGAGATACATTGTCATCAGAGGAGACAGAGATGCTTAGTGAAGGAGATAATTATGCTGATTTACTGTAATTAATATCATTTATGCAGAAGGAATAAAATTAAAATAGAAACTAATCTGTAGCTGAAATAAGTGGGATGGGTTACAGTGCAGCACGCGTAGTACTGCCAGGGATTTGCATCTCCTCTCAGCTTTTGTTAGTTTCAGTGTTTCCTGGATTTTTGTAAAGAAATCTTCATATCAAATGTGTAGAGCAGCTTTTAAAGACGTTTTTAGCACACGTTTTTTCCTCCTTTCCCTTTGCTTAAAGCTCCTGTCCATGAAGCCAAGGTGATGGGAGAAATTCAGTAACCAGGAGTTCAGATGCTCGAATTCCTGGCTTTTATAGACATGATCCATGCAACAAAATGGCATTTTGCTTCGGGGCCTGATGGCTCTCACTATGGAAGGCCGCCCGCTGGTTCATGTGGCGCCTCTTTCGCTGCCTTGTCTGCTTTCTGAAATCCACTTTTGATGTTTTTCTGATTGCACTCTGCTCTGATGTGCTACACAGAGGTGGAAGCAGCACATGGAAGCAGCCCCAGCCTGCGGGTTTTTGTAGTCTCAGCATTTCATTGCAGGAGTTAGGGTTGCCTTCACAGCGTGTTGATGTTTGGGTGTCCCCCCAAAGGGGGATATGAAGGGAAGAAGCTGTCTGAGTCCTCCCACACCCCTCTGCTCCGCTGAGGACTGCAGATCTCCAGGGCTGATAGGAAGCAGCGAAGGTGCAGGAGTGACAGGGTGCAGCCCAAGCAGCTGGGCAGTGGCTCACTGTGGGTTTCACCCGCTGTAAATTCCTCTGCCTGCACTTGTATTGCAGTTCTTGCTTTGTAGGGTAGTATTCAAGTGTCTGGGACACGTGCTGGGAGGCTGCAGCCAGCTGCTGGGGGTGGCTTTCCTCTGCCTCTGCCCTTGGTTGTGTTCCCACACTGCGCTGTATGGATTCAGAGGGGCACAAACAGCATTGACCTGCTACCTCCCCCAGGGTCGGGTGCCCTGGAAGCAAATGTCTTAAACATGGCTGTGGCTGGGGTGTCTGCAAACACTGGTGCGCGATAAGGGGGGCAGAGCTGCTCTGTTCAGAGCACCACGTTGACCTTTGTGGAGGGAGGATTTTCCTCTTTTGCTTCGTACTTTCTTTTTGAATTTTGAAGGAAACCTCCTCAGCTTCCACCTGCCCCCAGAGGCTGTGAGTTCCACAAAGCCAAGCGCATCCACGTGGGCCATGAGGACACTCCTGGAGGACTTCATCTCCTTCCTGCTCACCCCAACTTCCCCAGCCGCCCGCTTCTCCTGCTGGATCCAAGTTTGGGCACAGTGAGTGCTCACCTCTTTGCTCAGAGCACCAGCTAACCAGAGAACATCCTTTTAAACCACAATGAGAGTAATTTGATTTTATTTTTTTAATTGATAGCTAGCATTAGAATAACTCTACCTTCAGCTTACAGGAGGACGTGCTCTTAACTGGAACAGCCCAGCAGCTGAGGCTGGTGTGTTAATAGCTATGCAGATTTCCCAACGTTTTTCATGCACTTTATATACAGGGAGGAAGAATATTTTAATGCAGGAACTGTGATTGGTCGTGATTCAAGTTTCTCATCTGCTGTGTTTGCTCAGTTCTGTGGGCTCATGTGGTGTCTGAGAGCAGAGCCGTGCGGGTGGGTCTGAGATGTGGTGGGATTTAGGCACACGGTGGCATTTGCTGCAAGCAGCCCAGGCAGTGCTGTGGGAAGGGTGTTCTGTGGGTTCTCTCCAGCCAAGCCAAGACTTTGTACTGTATGATGCTCCTGACTCTCCTGGTGTTTTGATCTTGTCCCATATAATACCTGCTCAGTTGAAGGGCCTTGGCTCTTTGCTTGTCAGCATACTTTATTTGAGGAAGATAGAAATGATTCCTGCATGGGAATATTGCCCACATCCTTAAGAAAGGTTTGCCCTGCATCTCTTCCCCCGCTGCTCAGCCTCAGAGGCTCAGCATCACTTTGCTCTGCTACGAGCTGAGAACCCCACCTCGTTCTGCCTCACCGCTCATCAAAACCCATCCAGAAGGAGCCCTGGCATCACACAGTCCTGCTCATAAGGGAGCTGTCTGAGAGTCCTTCCTGTCCTGACACATCGTCCTTACTCCGGTACTGGCAGTTCTTTGCACAAGAAGTTCAGTGTTTGCAGTGCCTTATCCCTGGGTCAGCAAGTAACACAGCAACGCGCTGGGCTCAGCCTGACCTCCAGTCTGCACAGCTTGTAGGAAGTGATGCTACACCAAGGTGCAGATGAGTTACGCTACCCTTGAGCTGGAGTTGCAGTAAGTGTCTTGCTCCTGCATCCCCTTCATCCCTCCCTGCTTTGGGTTCTCGCTCTGTGCCATCCTGGCATTTCTCCCCCACAGGGCACTGGGGGTTTCCCTCTTCCACCCCCACTAACACCTGCTGTGTCTTGGGAGCCTCTCCCAGCTCATCTTTCTGTTGATTTTTTTTTTTGTAAATGTAGTGGGTCTGTATATAAAGAGTGGCTATTGACACTGTGGTATTATTACGTGTTGATTGGTGTACTTCAAATGAGCTAAAATCCAAAGACACTTTGTAATGAGCTGTAAAGTTTTTAATTATTTCTGTACAATACTAAATTGTAATATTGTGTTATATATGCAATGCAGCCTGCAATACCTAAATAAACTTCTTCTTTAGAACCCACAAGTCTACACTTTGTTATCTCGTGAGCAGCACCAAAATTTTCAGATGTGTTCAAGGCATCACAGTGGGAGAGCTGATGTTTGAGGGTGCTGAGATCCATCACTATAATCTCAAACACGTCTCTTGCCTTATTCTTGCTGCGCAGGGATCTCCCTGTAGATACACACAGCACCACGGCACCGCTGGCCCCTGGCCTCCCTCTTCTGTGAGGTTTTGGACATCAGCCCTTCCAAAGGCACCAGGGCTGTTGGTGCCCATCCTGCCCTTGGTCACAGCAGTGAGTTTTCTTTTCCCTCTACTCCTCAGTGTATTGCAGAGTTCCCTTCCTGCTCCAGGTTCCCAATGGTATCTTCACAGCCCTGTGTTGGGCTCCCAGCAGTTCGCCCAGCTCTCTGCAGCACTGGGGGGCCCAGTGCTGTACCCAGCACCCCGGGTGTGACCTCAGCAGCATGCAATGCAATCTTTGGTGCTTATCCCTTTTTTTTTCCTTTTTAGTTTCTCTTTGTCAACACTTTTTCCTCCAAAACACAGCTTAGCGTTGCTAACAAGAAGCAGGCTTTGGGCCCAGCTCTCACCTGTTTGTTTCTACAAGCAACAAAACCCCGCACCAATTCCGCAGTTCCTTGCTGAAAGTCATTTAGCAAAGGGTATTTTTATCGGTGCCTTGCAATCAGCGCACAGAAATACAGCTGCCTGGTGTGTTGTTTTCTCCTACGGTCGATCTCCTTTCATGTTGGACCTTCAGAAGAAGCAAGAAGAAACGCCAACCTTCTGCTGGAGCACGGGCGCCTTTTGAAGTGCCGTCACTTTGTTCGAGAGCCGCTCTTCCCAAAGGTGGTTCCTGCAGCACCGCCGCGCTGCTCTGTGTTCTGCAGCCAGAGCTGCCTTCAGAAGGCAGCCATCAAAACAGGCGAGGGGAACAAACGCCCCACAAAGAATCGCCTCCTCCGCTGCCTGCCGCCAATTAGCAGCGCTCTCACGGCCCTCACCTGTCCTCGTGCTCTTTGTCACAATGAGCAAATGGAGTTGCCAAAGTCCAGCTGGAAATGGAGGTTCGGGGCAGAGCACAAACAGCCCCACACCTCTGGGTCCTCACGTGTTCATAGCATCACAGAACGGCCTGGGTTGCAAAGGCCCACAGTGCTCATCCAGTTCCAACCCCTGCTGTGTGCAGGTCACCAACCAGCAGCCCAGGCTGCCCAGAGCCACATCCAGCCTGGCCTTGAATGCCTGCAGGGATGGGGCATCCACAGCCTCCTTGGGCAACCTGTGCCAGTGCCTCACCACCCTCTGGGGGAAAAACTTCCTCCTCAGATCCAACCTAAACCTCTCATGTCTCAGTTTCAAACCGTTCCCCCTTGTCCCATCACTGTCCAATGTTTCCCATCTTCTCCAAAAAACAAAGTGGGGGACCCAGGAATTTGAGGCCATCCCTCATCCTCCAAAGAGTTCGTTTTTCTACATGTTGAAGCTGTGGAGATGTTCTTTCCTTTGCTCGTGCCTGAGGCTGCTGCAGGGCTGCCGCCACCCTCAGCCAAAAAAGGACCATCAGAGGCTTTGTCTTTGTTGAGTTATACATTTTTATTTTCTAAGAGGTACAATACTAAAATAAACACAAATTAAAAAAAAGTTTTATTAAAACAAAACTGTACAAAAAAGCAGTTATACTACATTTTAATTACAGAACAGTCTACTGTCCAAAAGGCACTAATCCAGAATAGGAGATACAATGATACAGGACTCATTTTAACTATTTTAATCAATACAATAGAGCACTTGTTTCTCTGTCCATTCACATACAGAAACAAGGACTTTTGCTACAGTCATTACACACTGTTATAAATATGAGCCCTACATGGAAAGGTGCAGTATCGCTCTCCCTGGACCAGAATTCGGTTCAGACAATGTTAGAAATTAAAAGAAAAAGCAAAAAGGGCACAAAGGGCAGGAGGGAAGGAGCTGCTGCTTCTGAAGCACCTACTGCCTAAGGAAGATGGGACAAACAAGAACTGTCACCTTCATTCTGCAGATGGGAGCGCACAGAAAGGACCTGTTTGCCTCCAGGGTTTGCAGCAAGGAAGGGGAAGGGAAATTCGGATCACATAAATTGCAGAGCTTTGTGTTATTCTCCACCACAGCCTGTTCTACACAGCTCTGCTTGGACCTTCCCCAGGCACTTCTCCACTTTGTAACTCATGAGGACCAACACCAAGTGACAAAATGACTCCCCTCTCCTTGCAGCAAAACATGGAGCAGATCTACTCACAAGATCACAGAATTGCTCCGGTTGGAAAAGACCTTCAAGGCCATCAAGTCCAACCACAACCTGACAGCTCTCTGCTAAATCGTGTCCCTGAGCACCACATCCAAATGGTTTTAAACACATCCAGGGATGGATCAGCATCTCGCAGCTCGCTGCAGTGACTTAGAGAAGACTTCAGAAAAACTCTTCCTAACCATCAGTACCAGAAGGGCACCCAGCCATGAGAACAGGGAGACGCCACGGCTGCTCCACCACTCGCTGCAATGCATTTGCAGGTTGCACCGAAGCCCCACCAGCACTGCTGCCCACCTGCCCTCCTGACAGCAAAACCACTTTGGCAGCTGTGGGGTCGCTCAGTAGTGCACTGCAGCTTGCTGGTGGTACCTGAGATTCGCTCCCTGTGACGCACAGCGCCGCCTCCCTGCCTTGGCTGCCTGCTTACTGCTCATCCTCCCTCCTGGTCTGCACTGCTGCTTGTTTCTTCCTGAAATTTCATGCTGAGGACCAGAGCAAAGAGACTGCAGAGAACAGGCCCACCAGGTGGCAAACAGCAACGCACGGCACATCCACTAAATGCCAGGCACAGACGTAGTCCATGGGCTGAGCAGCCCGGCCACGGCGAGGAGCATCACCCAGCGAGGCAGGAGAGGGCTGGGACACGGCGGGAGAGGGATACTGCACCTTTGGAACAGTGTCATATACAGAAGACAAAGACAGGCATCTGGATGTTAACAAAAATAAGTAACAAAGAAATATGATTAAACAAAATCTCTTCTCACATCATCCTATACTACATCCTCCTTCTGCTTAGCAGAAAATTGTACGTACACAAAAATACAAATACACAATTTTGTAGAACAGTCTGATTTTAATATATTTATATATATTTATATTTATATGAGTGGCAGGTTAGTTCATTATATAGAGCTTTTTGCACTTTTGGCTCATACGCAACAAGGCTTTATAAATTCAGCTTTAGCTTTCATTCAGGTTTTATAGCTTCTCGAACATTTGTTTTCACATTTAAAGCAGCATCCAATTTGCAAGAGGAGTTGGTGGTGGCTACAGCAAGGATCGGGTCACGAGGTTATTTGGGGTGGGGGAGAATATACATTCCAGTGTGTGCGCGCTAGTGCTCGTGTAAAAAAGAACAGAGTGAAGGTGTGACTCCAGGATACCTCTTGAGGTAGGCACAACACCTACAGCAGATGAGACAAGGAGCGGCTGGCGGCGGGGCGCGGGGAACGGGGACATGGGCAGCACAAAGGGACGGAGCCGCGGGAGGCTGGGAGCCGCGGGAGCAGCAGAGCTGGCACAGCTCCTCCCTGCTTACTGCTGAGCTGGAGACGTGCGGAGGAACTGCAGGGACCACAGCTGCCCCACGTGCGACAGCGGCAGCTCACGTTCAACCACGGCGCTCGAGGCGCACGGCCGGCCCGGCGCTCCCATCCCAATGCAGCAAAACGAGGGTGCACAGAACCCCAAAATGGAAATCCCAACCCACAGCACGTCACACAGAGCCTGGGGCCTTTGCTTTCCTCATTCTCCTTCTGTGCCCCCCGTCTGTTCCGTTGCCTTTCCACCCCTGGGTTGGACGCGCTCGCTGCTAAGCTCTTTTCGATCGCGACCACCGTTATCGACAATCACTTTGTTTAGGAAAAAAATCACAGTCAAAAAAAAGGCATCTCTGGAGCAGGGGGACAGCACTGCATCCAATGTACCACGGGGCTCCGTGAGCACTTTGTTCTCATCAGCACCCCAGCACTAGATTCTCCTTTGATCATTGCTTATACCAACACCCATCGACATCCTACAAGCTCGCTTTCTGTTCTCTGCACAAGAGATGCCCTTACGGCTTCCCCTGCCAACAACATTTCCTAGGCTTTCCCAACTCACATGTAATTAAGTTGTCAGGTGAAAACAACACTTTGTCACACATGAAAAATAAAACATCTACGTATGGGTTGCTTTCATCTTCGGAACCCTCCAGTGGTACCAACGCATCTCACCAGCGTTCCCTTGTTTTATTTCCTTTCGCTACGTCAGAAGAAACTCTTTAATGCAACTTTTTTAAACTAACATTGATATCTTTTATTTTACCCACTTAAAATCCTCATTTTTACAAGGTTATAACCACCTGCCAATCATCACATTATTCTGACAAAATGTTTAGCAGGTCCGCTCTAACAAGCCTAGAAATAGATAAGAATAAAGGAAGAAACCGCCTCTGTGATTCCAAGAAGGGGTTATTATGGATATCGGCCACTCCTACCCAGAACCTCAGGTGTGGGGTTATCCAGAGACATGAGATGAATGCACAAAGCCATTTGCACCTGGAATCCCAGAAGCAGTTTCCTACCAAATTCTGCCCGAGCTTCCCCCTCCTTCCCATCCACCCTAAAACAGAGATTGCCACGGTTTGGCTGAGAAACACCGTCTGCTAAGAAGTTCCCCACCAACAAGTTTTAGGTTGGAGAATGAGGGAGCAGCATGAGGAAAGGGATTTCTTCCCTGCTGGATTCTGCAGGGTTACAGACTCTCACTGCTCCTCCGGAGGAAGCGCAGCGAGGGCTCTGCTCTTAGGAGGGAAATGAGGTCTAATCCTATTTCTCCAGCTCACTCTGGAGTCCTGTTACTCACTTAGGCACTTTTTAAATCGACACTAAGAAAAAAATAATAATAATTAAAAAAGTACTGCACATATTTCACACTTCCTGGGCTTTTATGAGCCTTGGGAAGATCATAGAGACCAAGGGGGAGACAGCCAAGGCTATCTGTCAAAAAACAGTGCTCCCCGCGGACGTAACCCACTTGTAACTGTCACCCTTTGACAGAACCGCTGTTGAACTAAACCTGGTTTGAATCTGTCACTCCCACACCATCCTTAAGGTAGAAGCCTGTCCTTGGTGGCTCTGCCCACGGTGGCAGCGCTCTGTCACGCAGGGTGCGACGCCTGACTTCCAGCTGCTCCCCCAGCGAGAGCCCCTGGTGCAGGAGGACGTGCTGCCCTCAGCCCCGTGAGCCGCCCTGATGGCAGAGGGAGGAGGAGCTGCTGCTGCTGGCATTTGGAACGGCACTGCTAACGCTACGGCAGGATCCCAGCACAGAAATATTTCTGCTTCTTGGTTTGTACGGCAACGAGGATGAAATGCAACATGTCCCCTCTCCGAAGAACAAGCAGGGCTCTGGCCCCGGAGAACCGAGAAATAAGTCAAAAGCTTCAAGTCTCAACACGAATTCATGCGCAAGCCAAAAAGAAAGTTCAGTGGATAACACTGAAGAATGGGAACTTCAAAATCCAATCCACTCTCATTACTGTATCTATTCAGAGAAGTCCTTTCATTTCAAGTTTGGTTTTTTTTTTCATCGCCTTCAAATGTAAAACAACTTAAAGAAATCAAAAGCTACTCCGGCTGCCAAAGGTGAGCCCAGGCCCTGGCGGAACGACATGACGACACGCAGCAGGAATGGCGCCACGCACAGCGCAACGCAGCTCCGGTTGGAGAAGACCTTCAAGATCATCGAGTCCAACCTCAAAACCCGCGCACCACCCCTCCCAGAAACTCACGTGAAAAAAGCAGGTGGCAACACATAACCAGGAGCAACAACGGCACCGATTCGTACTGCTTCCAATATTAAATGTGAGCAAAAGGTTGGAGAAAAATAATGCTACTACCTCGTCCCTCTGCTGAGCGTGGTCCAGCACTTGCAAATACACTATTTCACATGGGAGGCTGCTGATGAAAAACCTGCTGTAAAAGGACTGAATTTATGAGTTCTTTTTGTTTGTTTTAAATGGTCTGAGTGAACTCTGGAGACTGTTTCATATTTATACTTTACTGTGGATAATATATATCTGAACTTCAAGTAGGCAACTGATACAGTGCCATCTAATAGGCAAAAGGAAAGATGAATCTATGTCGACTTGGACTGAAGTATTAAAGGAATTAGGAAACAACTAACTATAAATACACTGCTCGAAGCTGTGAAGGTAATAAAGTGCCTGTAGAGAAAAAAGTCAAGAATGAGAAACAAGAGGAGTGAAACTGAAATGGCAGAAATCACTGAAGATGGACAAAGGGCACAGAAAGCAACAAGTTAGTCCTACCAGGAGGGGAAGAAGCAACAGACACCAAAGAGCACAGAACTAAGCAGAACAGGTAAACCTGAGCACCATAATCATGTGCAAGAAACACCAAATTAGTTTGTTAAGAACGGCTGTATCTGTGACATACCTGCATTTTCCCAAGTAATTTGCTAGAATATCACGGAATAGCTACTGAGGTGCAAGGCCCAGTACCAGGCTTCCCAGTTAAAAACAAACAAAATCATACTTAGAAGTTACTGTTTCCCTGATTTGTTAATCTAAGCATCAAAAGTAAAGGAAGGGAAGGGAGGAGCAGTGCCATGCTGAAAACACCTGGGGTCTTTCAGCTAGTGAAGCTCAAAGGATCTGAAAACCCTCAACTTCAGTATTACAGCAGACTGGTTTGTTATCAGCATGGAAATCACATCCATCGCTCAGCTGGAGACCAGACAAACACCAAGTTCAGGTCAGAGCATGTCTGTGTAAGAAAACCATCCGTACACCAGGTAGAATAGGATTACTGAGGTGTGAAAGAGCTTGGATGAAAGACAAAAGAAACACAACCACAGTTAGGGACAAATATGTGTGACAAATTCTGTACCAACAAGAATCAGCCTCAGAGGGAAGTGAAAGGCTCAGAGCCGCTGAAGGAAGTACAGCTCAAATACTTGTGTGGAATTCCTTCGAGGAAACAGAGGCTCAGGGTAGGAAATCACTTCAAGAAGAGAGATGAGTTTAGCAAGAAGACTTGAGGTGGCTGTGATATTTTTGAAGCACTCTGGCAACAGGCAAAAGCATTCACATCAACAGTTCCTTGAGCCACTGCAGCTACAGGAAATGGTCATGACAGACCAATGCTTTTTCATGTGAAATGATTTCATGTGGAATGTGCCCAGGTAACAGTGAAAACATAACGACTGGGATTCATGTACCCACATGCTCATACAGCAAACAGCAAAGAAGATTTACGATTAGAAATTCAGATTGACCTGCTCTGGATTTTGGTTGGGTTCTTCTTTCTTTGTAGAAGAAGCAAAAATAATGGTTGAAGAGAATGATGTTGTTCCAGAGCTACCATAGCTGCTGAACACTGATGGGTATGGAAGAGCGTATCGCTGTTTCAGAAGGACAGATGGGAAGAATCTGTAAGACATGGGAGCAGATCTCAGTAATATGGCAGCATACAATAAACCACCTTCTATCAAAACAGCGTTCGCTTGATTCTCATCCTGGCAGAAATACAAAGAGTAAAAAGGTCTTCATCATACGTAAGTGGAACTTGACGTGGTTTACAGACATAAGGCACAACATTTCCTCTGATGGAAAGTCATACATTTTGAAGGAGGTCTTACTGTAGAGAACCACTCTACTACTCAAATCTCAACAAATTATTACATACTACGAACAAGCTACAGCTGTAAGAGTAGAAGTCTACCTCTTTGGAATCAAAGTTTAACAATTAAGGCCAGAAGGGTCCGATCTACCAGCTAAAAGGAGACCCTGCACATCACATGAGTTTCCATGTCTGATGCAAACTCCATTCTGCTTCATGCAGTCATTCAGAACTCATGTAGTTACATCTAAACTCAGACCACCCAAACGATGCAGAAAGGTGAAATGTTCTCATGGCTACTTTTCACAACAAAATCTTACCAAACCTTCTGAACAACAGGCAGCTCAAATGTGCCAAGGGAGAATCTCTGTCATTTGGTCTTGGAAAGATCTGCTTACTTGCCATGAAGTACAAATTTGCACCTTGCTATGGGAAAAACTGGTCAATGAGTTGATATTCTGAATTCCTGGCTCTGGTTGGTTTCTGAAGGGCATTTTCAGCACTGTCACTACAGTACTGTTAGAGACAGATAGCAGCAACGTTACCAGCAGGCAGACTTAAAATACAATAACAACTAAAAAAATGCAAAGTCAAATGCACTTTGAGGAATGCAATATATGCTCAATATTCTCACTGGAATATATTGGGTGAGAAATATTAATTGATAATTTAATCATGTCTTTGTCTTGAGTGATTTGATAAATAAAATGTCAGCAAAATGTGTTTTTAAATCTCAAATGATGTAAAATACAACTCAGAAGGCTGATGCCAACCTCTTAATTACAGAGGTGTGTTATTTAAGTTACATATGCCATCTTGCCATAACATGGAAGACTTTAATTAGTTAAGGAGAAGGGATAGGAGAGAAAGATAGGAAGATGAATTGAGACCAGTGACAGCAGCAAGTTAGTGTCTAAAAATTCCTGTCCTAGGAAAGAAATTCCTACCATTGCTACTGTGAGGGTAAGCACTACCAGTGGCAATGGCTCTGGAAGAACTAAGTACCCAAGACCCATAGGTCTGTTCTGAACCACAGTGACAATGGATGAGATTTGCAGAAGTAGCTCTATAAAGAAGCTGAAAAGTAACTGAAGGATTCAGGTAAGAGCCTAAATAAGTTAAAGGTTCCTAATTTCTTTGCAAATCTGTTGAAGTTAGGAACCTGCTGTCTTTGCTAAATTTTACTAACTCCATGTATGCATCTTTACACAGCAAAAAGCTTCAGAAACTCACCTCGTACAGCAGGACAGTGTCACTATGGAATACAGTCAAGAAGTTTACAGTCAAATATGGAGCAGAAGCTCTGCAGGGCTAAAGGCAGATCCACAGATACTGTTTTTCACAAATAAACAGAACTGAAAGGCACACAACACTTCATGACAAATGCTTTTGCAGAATCTAGCAACGTTATCATGGAAAGATTGTGATGTTAGTGTGGGTCACCAGCACAGCTCCTCTCCTGCAGTACAGAAGAATACCCTGCTGCAGGCTCTTCTGAGATTTCTTAAGAAAAAGGTGAGTTAGCTTGTAATGCTAGACCGTATCATATCACTCTCCCATGGGCAGGGATGCCACCCATCAGGTCAGGACACTGCAGACATCTTCAGGACAACACAGCAATACCCTTCGCAACAACTGCTGGCAACGCTTCCAAACTGAGACCATACAGGAGATGTGCTGAAGTGGCACAGAAAAGCCAGAAACACAGAAGAGCCAGCTCTAATTTGAAAACTGAAGGCTACCTGCGCTTGGCATTCTCCACCTGGGGACAGGGTAAAAACAGCACGAGCAGATCAGGGGAGTCCCAGACCACGGCTAAACTTCCTTATCATCTCTACAAGCAAGTGACAAGTCAAGAAGAGCCCAATCAGAATGCAGGGTAATCTGTAATCACACAGTCACACAATTAAACGTCAGCTTTATTTCTAAAACCCACTAAGAAGAAATAAATACCCAAAAGCATAAAAGGAAAAGAAGTAGTTTTGCATAGAAAACTAAACTCTGTTTCAGCCCCTGCTGCTAGAAGTTACCATTAGGAACAGGTCATTATTAAAGTTTACGAAGTATAGCTGTTCCAAATGTCACCAGTAATGCTGGTTCTAAAGAAAATTAGGGGGCGGAAGATCTTCTGTTTTCAATCACAGAAAGACAGAAATCCTTTTAATTATGACCATGCCAATCCACATCTTTCTAAAGCAGCTAATTACATGTCAGGAGGACATCCAGCCCTTCGAAAGAGCTGCCATTACTTTTCCTGCCATACTCTTACACATTTATCTACCCATCCCAATTACCCTGCCTGCATTATGAAAGGATTGAGCAGAAGCATGCTGGATGTTTTGATCAGCAGAATGCACCCACTTCCATTTAACAAGAATAGGGGATAAATGGTGCAGACATCCTTGTGCCAAGCCAGCTGAGAGTGGGATGCACTGTACATACAGAGCATCAAGGGCTGTTACAGCTCGCTCCACTTCATGAGTTGGGTTTCCTCGTGCTGAAGCCGTTGGCAGGAGCACTCCAAAGCCCACTGCAAAGAACAGGGAAGAGCACAACACTGCAGTAGTCAAACCAATTAGTTTTCTTGATCAGCTTGGTTAAAGGGAGTGTCTAAAATATGTTTTGTGAGCTTACCCCACAGACACCTGATACAGAAGAACTTCTCTATCTCTCTGACATACCACCCAAATACTACACTGATAAGCACACCGTAAACATCACAGACTGCATCTCAAATTAATAAAAAAAAATAAAAAATTGTTTACTTGTTCCAGCAAGTACCAGCGAGGGTATGATCTGAATTTTCATAAGGAGCATGTGACAGAGGAACCTTAACAAAACGAGTACAGTTTGTACTGATTGTCATAACTATGTCAATGCCATCGTCGCCACTGCATCGCCTCTGCCAAATGGATGGCGACATGAAAACAGGCATGAACAAACAATTCCAAGCTATTTTTAAGAGACAGAACCTAAGGCCAAGGTTAGCAATGAACAACTCTTGAGAGGTTTGAGTTTTTTTCTCCCTATGTTTGTTCCACTGGTGCAACTGAGAATAGTTTCGTTTAATTAACTTTATTGACATTTGCTGGACAAAAACCAACATCAAAACGCTGTCCTCTTACTGACAGCCCTCAAGATGATCGCATCCACTTCTCCAGTTATAACACAATTCTCACAATGGAGAAAAATATCTTTTGTATATTTTAAATTTGAATTTATAGCTGTCGCCTCTAGAATGCCTCTTTCTTTTCCTTCAATGTGCAGTGTCTTTAATTGGACAGTTCTAATCCCATTTATTAGACGAAATGAATAGACACTAAAATGAGAGGTTTGGGGCGATGCTTTTCAGCTTGCCAAATGCCCGTTGGCCAATGACTGCTTCAAGATCCTGAGTAAAAAGGCCAGCTGCAAAAAGGGGAAAGCTTCATTTTGAATCTTCTCTGCAACTCTTCTCCTTGGGAACTGGAGGTACCCATGGTCAGGCCATCCACCCTCCCTCCCAAGAAGTCACAGTGAAAAAGTTACTCCTCAAACTTCCATTCAGTTGGCCAGGATTGTGATACAATCCCAATTACTCCACTAAGAGGCATTTAAACACACAAAACCTGCAGCTGTCTAATAAGAACAAGCATACGTTAGGTCACTAACATAAAGCAAGTTTTTTCAAGAGCAACCCTGCCAATAAAGATTCCTGCCAAATGAGAAATGCTACACGAAACTCAACATTATTGCCTACAAGCCGAAGATTTCATTCAAAATAATATTACCAAGTCAAAGAACTTCAAAGAGTGCAAGAGCTACTTGGGTGGGAAGCCCTAACATAAGAGCAAAACTTATTCTGACACTAAAATTTGCTGGTAATTATCAAATGAACTTGAAAGAAGCTGATGGACCCTTGGGGATGAGGGCTACAGAGTGATGTAGCTGGTACAAGTGGAGGAATAGAAAACTTCTGGTAAGAAATTTATTATCTGAAATGAGGAGAATTCCAGGCATAAAGGGGGAAAAAAATATTCCCCTACTAAACATCCACAGCTCAGTACTGAATCTTCATAATGAACACCGAAATGCACGAATCCAGAACTGACATCACACACAGTGAAAAAGAACCTTGCATTAAAGGTTTTAGAGGCTGCAGTTTCGACTTGCAACTCTTACATCAGTTTTGGTTTGGTGGTTTTATCTATGTGAAAAAATACAATGAAATCCTGTTACCAGTGCCATGTACCTCTGCGTGGCTCTGCGACCTGGTGGACGTCATAGAATCACAAGGTTGGAAAGGACCTATAAGATCATCTAGTCCAACTATCCATTGCTACCACAATGTTCTATCAGCACAATGCTTTCATTCTACTTCTCTGCAAGCAGCATCTCACTGTTACACCACAGAGGGGATCTGAGAATCTTGAACTCATCTCTGTGTTCTCCTGCACCTTAACGGCAGGAGTGACACTTGGGATAGTGACTCCATGCTGTACCATAGTAGAGAACACTATCATGATTTCTCTTTAAAATAACTTCCACATCAGACCCCAAATCTGTCTTTGTATGTTTTTCTACTATTATTTATTTTTTGTCTAGCAATGGCCAACAGCAAACATAAGGAAATAACACGAGGCTCCAAGCAAGTACAGAAGATGTAGGCTACCAAACTAAATCTTCTGACAATCACCATTTGAAGATTTACTGAAACAAAAAATTTTAGCATATCACAGTAGTCAACAGTGGGCTTAAGCTAAGTACAATTTCTCTTCTAACCTGTTCAGCTACGCGAATTTGTTCAAGTCTACGCTCACAGCAGCAAGACAGTGAAAATTCCTCTCAAAGGCAAAAATGAATCTACAGCGCAAACGTTATTAAAACGTGGAGAACTTACCAGTTCAGTGTTAGCCAAGGAACGAAACAAGCTAATTCAAATATCCCTGAAGAACTGTGTAAACAGAGCAAATAATTGATGAGATTTATTCCTTATGGCTTGATTAGAACCTGGAGCCAGACTCTACAAATAAAGCTCATCTATATTAGGATAGGACAGAACTTTTTAACAGTAGGCAAAACAACAGAATTTCCTTAAACAAGTGAACATGTGCAGATGAGAACTGGGAAACTCCCCGACCTGAGCAGGTTTGAATCATACAAGGGCTGCTCCAAAAGTAATGCCTCCTATTTTAAGATGTTGGCCCACAACATCAGATGTGGATGTTGGTGGGATGGCAGTAGTGGCTGAAACTTCCCACCAGTATTTCATGATGTTCTGTTGCTGTGTGATAGATGGCAGCAGAGAGGCAGCCTGATAGAATGGTGCCTGACGTGGAAGTGCATGTGAAGCAAAGTTGTGGAACTGAATTCTTCCATGATGAAAAAACAGCATTCACTGACATTCATCAATGCTTGCTGAATGTTTATGGAGACAGAACAGTGGATGTAAGCACAAGGAGGCAGTGGGCAGTGCATTTCGGCAGCGGTGACAGTGACGTGAAAGACAAGCCACATTCTGGACAGCCATGCACAGCTGTCATACTACTCAAAAAAGAGCATCTCCATTAGTTCATCTGTGCCAACAGGCAAATTACAATCAGAGAACTGTGTACAGAGCTGAATATCTGCTTCAACGACACTGGCAATGCTGGAATACTGCAAAGTTTGCAGCAGACAGGTCCCACGAATGCTCACACAGGGATAGAAAGAACACTAGCAATTCTGTATGCAAGTCTGTCAGGACCTACTGAACCAACACAGGGCTGAAGGTGATTTCCCTGGATCGCATCGTTACCAGTGACAAGAGGTGGTGCCACCACCACGAGCCAGAGTCAAAATGGCAGCATATGGACTGGTGACATCTGAATTTCCCATTGAAGAAAAACTTTTAGGACACAGTCCTCAGATGGTAAAGTGCTGTGCACAGTCTTTTGGGATAGGAAAGGAGGGATCATTCTGGATTTCCTGGAACATGGATAAACCATCAACTCCGACTGTCAGGTCACAACGCTGACTAAGCTGAAGGCTTGAACTTCCACAGTCAGGCCAGAGAAAGTGACAATCTTTCTCTTGCAATAGGATAACTCCAGGACCCATATTAGTTTGAAGACCATGGAGCACACTGCCATTCCTGGCTGGCCTGTCCAATGACTCTCTGCACAGTCCAGATTGGGCACCTTCTAACTTCCATCTCTACTGGCTGATGAAAGATGGACTGCATGGGCAACAACTTCTAACAACAATACCATCACAGCAGCTGTGAAACAGGGGGTCACCTCCACTAGTACAGACTTTTACAAGTGCAGCATGCAGGCTCTTATTCATCACTGGCAAAAAAACATAGCTAATGGTGGTGGCTATGCTGAAAAACAGTGTTTTGTAGCTGAGAATTTTCTCTATCAAACAGTGTTATTGTGCTCTTCGTATCTGTTGTAGTTTCTATGGAAATAAACAGGAGGCATTATTTTTGGAGCAACCTACAAAGAATAATTTGGGTCGGAAGAAACCTGTGGAGATCTCTGATCCAACCCCAGATCTTGTCCAGTTGAGTTTTGGATATCCCCAAGGGTGGGTTTTTCCACTGCCTTTCTTGGCCTCTCTTTTACCACTTGCAGTATGAAAATATTCCTCTGAAAATTCCATCTGGAATTTTCTTAATGCAATTGGAGCCCACTGCTCCTCATCTTTTTCTATGTACCTCTGAGAAGAGCCTGGCTCTGTATTCACTGTACTGTATTCACTACCAATTAGAACAATTAAAGAGCAAAATAAGATCTCCCCAGAGCCAATCCAAACAATCTCAGCTCTCCCACCACGTGACATGTGCTCCAACCCTCTCATCTCAGCAGCTGTATGATGGACTTACTGCTGTACAAAACTGACCACAATACTCCAGATAGGCTCCCAGAAGTGAACAGCAGAAGGGACTTATTGCCTTCCTTGCTCTTCCTAGTGACATTCCTTTATCACTACAAGGGTGCACTGCTGACTCGTGGCCAATCTGCTCATGTCCAACATGTGAGTAATGGGATTATGCTATAACAATATCTAGGCTTGTAGTGTATTAGATGTCTCTACAACTCTAGGCCATCAATGAATAATGTCTGCTTGCTGCTATGTTATTATTTCCTTTATCAACTAATAATACTTTTGTAACTATCTGGGATTTCAGACTTCAGGAAAAAGACAGAATTCAAAACATAAACAAAAGAACAAGTAGAGGTAGAAATTGTTATTTTAAGAAGACTGTTAGAGACAAGAACTCAAGTATAAGAACTTTATGAGCCACAAAATAACAGCCAGAATTTACTCTAAAAGTTAAAAGCAATCTGTGCCCATCACAGAAGAGGAACATCTCAGATTATTTCTTCTCTATTCACAGAACAAAAAGGTAGATCCAGTCTGCCACCAGACCTGCTTCAAGGGGCCCCACACAAGGACAGACTACAGTAGCTCCACGTTGACTACAACAAACTTGCCACTGAACTGCAACGTGACCAAAAAACAAAACCTGCCACCACCAAGAAGATACTTTTCAAGAATCTCCAGAGACAAAAAGATGCAAGCAACATCCCACACTGCAGCAGAAAACCTAGAGAGAAAGTCTAAATCACAGGCCACACTCTCCACAAGTCTTTCAATTACTCTAGATCAGGTGCAGGTCTTCTGACATCGTCACACCAGCATCTGCTCCACGTAAGCTAATTCCTGTCAAAGCAGAAAGCTGTTAATCATTTGCAAACTGTCTGCTAAGAACTTTCAGAATAAAGGAAACAGGCTGCTGCACCACCTGAACTCCTACTCCTACCTCATTCCTCTTGTAGATAAGTGCAAACCAAGGTGACAGAAACCTGAAACACACCAAATGTCTTTTTTTTCTTTTTTCAGCATGACTGATTCCTTGGTTAAGTAATTTGTTGTTTGCTCTGGTGAGACGATGTGAGAGAGCAGCAAACTGGTATTTATCTTCAAAGCTACAGACAAGGAGGATCTGGCAATCTCCAGCTGTTCACAAGTGGTTTATCTGATTAACCTTCATACTGGATATCGACGCCTGATTAGACCAGCAGCTACCTGACACTGACAGACAGAATTATGGTCAGATTATTGTATCATTATAAAGGACATCAGATGGTCTGGACATACAGTTTTAGGGGTGTTACTCTGATCCTGTATCACATGAACCAAAAATCGGAATAAGGATTTTTATTCTTCCCTATTGCTGTAAAAAGGCGACGCTTGAAACAATGACTTTTTTTTTCTCAGGATGCTATAGTAAGCCATATTTCTTCTAAAATTGCAGCTGTCCAACAGTTTGAATCTGTTCTTTTTAAAATGAAACAGCCAGGACAAATGGTGGTGGCAATCCCAACATAAAGAGGCCATCGATTATTAAAATCTCCTTCCTATAAATCGTGGATGTTGCTTGTCAGCTTGGTGTGTGACTGCAGTATGAATAAGGTAAAATTCCACTAAGGCTATAGTTTGCTGGATCATTCTGCTGTGCAAAAATAGGGAAAAAAAGCTCTCCCCGTCCTTTCACTCCTTAGTACCAAAACACTCACACACACATTAAGAAATAAACTGCAATGGTGCAATGGCAGCTGATCCAATTCTGTGTTTTCCCCGAGTCTGCCCTGATGCTACTTACAAATTTGCCTACTCAAGAAATGCAATAAAACAGAACAAGACGGCTTCATTCTGCTTCAGTGATCTATACCTAAGGAAAGCACATAAATTTTCCAATGAAATCCATAAATGAAAGACGAGGCCAAGCCCTACCTATTTATCTTCAAAGTTACAGAGACAAAGAGGTGCCAGGTCTGCACCCTCTGAAAGCACAAAATCTCCACACTTACCCAAGCAATTTTGGTGAGACTAACAGATGTGAGGATGATGTAAGCTAGCCTACACCCTGAGTGGGTTTAGGCTGCCTAGAAACCTTCTGAGGAGCCACAATTTGGGAGGTCACGATGCTGACTGATAGCTGTGCATGAGGAAGGGAGGATGAGAACAAACCAAGTAGCTGTGACTTCCCTCTGTCCCCTCAAAAGCGGATGAGACAAGAAGGAAGCCCATCCTTCAGAATTCAGCTATTTTCCCTTCTTCAGCTATTCCCACCTAAGTGGGGAAGATACAAATGGAATGTTTTGGAAATACTATGGAAATTTTTATATATATCTATATACAAAAATTTACATAGTTGGTTTTTTTTTAATATAATTTTTGTTTTTTTGTGGTTTTTTTTTTTTTTAGTTTTTTGTTTTGTTTTGTTTTTCAGTTTTTTTAAATGTAACACAGTCCTGCCTGTCTCTAACACTTCCCGTGCTGTTTCCATTGAGATGTTTCCTCTTACCGGCAGCAACATATCATTTTATCAGGATGCCAGGAGATCGCTTCCACACAATGCCAGCAGATGCAATTTTCTTAGATGCACACACAGTTCATCATTTAGATAGCAGATGACAAGGCGATCGCAGGGTGACTCTGTAATGCGAGTTTGCTGTTTGGCATTTTGAATTCTCAAATGATAAAAAAAAGACTTATCAAATATAAATATCTTTAAGAAAAAAGTAACAAAAGTGCTACATATGATCAAGGAAAACAATTCCATTAGTTTCTGCTACTTAAAGTAGGTTTGCTTTACAAATATTACCACATCCATTATCAGTATGGCTTCCAATTATTAATTAAATTGCTCGTAGCAGTATAGCTTTCTCACATCTTAACAAGGACAGAGTAAAGAGAACACAAAACATTCACACCCCATTTCTCTGGTAAGAGATCCTCTTGCCTTTAAGCAAAGGCAAAAGCTCTTATTTAGGAGAATATTTATGCTATGATGGTTAACTAGCAAAGGTCAGATGTCAAACTTCTTGAATAACCTTTCGGGCTAGACGTAGGCATTAGTTACACAGACGTGTAAAAAAAATCACTCACCCGTTTCATGACCTTAAAACCTTCTTGGAAAACATTGCTTTTGAAAGTGGCAAAGTGGAGAGGGGAACAGGGTGGGGACAGAAAAGGAAGAATAAAAAGTGAAATTGTTAGTGACAGATCAATAGAGTCTAGACCTCTTCTGAGCAGGCACTACAAGCCATGCCAAATAATGAATAGTGGTTTTGAGAGGTGGACTGTTGTCCATTAGACATTCAGCTCATTTTTCATATGATCCCAGGCTGGGCTTCAATCATGGTCCCAGAGGCAGAAGGCAGTACTTATCCACTAAGCCACACAGCTTGTGAGTAGAGGATGTCTGTGTTGAATATGGGAACATCAACTGAAATATGTGAATGTGTTTCCAATGGACATTCTTAGCACAGCACCCAAAAGTATATCAAGTCACTGTATGACCAGTGAGGCACAGCTTATTGCAGCTGGAAATCTGAATCAGCTGAAGTGGGGTTTCTAGTGTTCTTTTTACTCTCTGTTGATACTCCCAGTCTGGTGTCCATCGACCCTGTGCCACTACCTCAGCTTGCATCCTTTCAGTCTCAGAGAAGGAAAAGCATACAGACTATTTTTACACAATCTCTAAAGGTATCCAAGATTTTAAGTGTAGCCTAAGACTTGTAATTGAGGACTGTCTAAAATACCTGGAAGCACTTTGAATGCTAAGATAGAGCAGCAAGATTTTTCTAGCCACTGGGGCTGGGAGAGGGAGGTTGGTTGGTTGATTGATTATTTATTGGGAATTAATACTGAGAGAGTATACGCAAAGGCTGAGGGCACCATGCCATCTTCACAGAACAAGACCCTAACAGCTAACTGACGTACAAGAAACTGCAAAGTTATACTGTAAGAACACATATTAAGGACCGAGGAAAGTCTGCTAAGGTGCTACGTCTAAAACTAAGTTACTTCTTGCTTCGACCCTCCCCCTTCTTTCTATCAGTCGTCGTCTAGAGCCTCTGTCTTGATCTCGTTGGCTCCTTGCCGGGCCAATGCCAAGATGGTGTGGTTTACCGCTGCCATTTCCACAGCTAATGAAATGGGGTCTTGATGGTCACTATGGCTAGTGCTGTCATCCTGCAAGGAGGAAAGGAGAAGAGAGAAGTGTGGTTATTACACAGGCAGAAAACCAGCTAACAAAAACAGCGTATAAAATAATGGCCTAGGGGCAGCAAATTGCACACTTGTCACAGGGGTACAACATGAAAGGAGTTTACACCGCTGATTTCCCTCAATGTGCAGACAAAGGTAAGAGGGGTAAGGAGTGGTGTACCTGATTTTCAAGAGAAAAATTTAAGCAGAGGGAATATTCTGAGGAAAACAGGAAATCATAAAGATAAAAGCAATACACAGCATATGTCAGGAAACCAAACTAAGGTAGGGATCATTATCCACTGCACAAATTCATGCTGTGCTTACATTCTGAATACTGTAACCAGTTCTGCTCATCCCGTTCAAAGAGGACATAACAGAAGTAGGAAAAGTAGTGAGAGTGGCAATCAGGAGAAAGAGGCAGGGGCTGGCTTCTCTACAGGGAGGGACTAAAGAGGCTCAGATTCCTCAGCTTGGAAAAGGAATGGCTGATGGTTGATATGGTAAATGCTTATTGCAAATGATCAGTAAATAGAGAACAACTGTTCGCTACTTCTGATGATCTAATAAGCAAGGGTGCTCACTGAAACGATGAGATAATACGTTCCAAAGCAAAAACAGGAAGCAGCTCTTCTCTTATCACTGTTCAGTTGTAGGATTCACTGATTTTTAGATTAGACAAAAGTAAATATGCCTTTAAAAAGAGGGGTTAGACAAGTTCATGGAAAATTAGTCTACTGTAACTATTAAAAAGAAAGTGGATACACCGCCTGGCTCAGGAAGTCTCTCAAGACCAGTGCTTTCCAGAAGCTGGACGCTAATATAATAAAATCACTCTATAATTACCCTATTCTTTAAGAATACTTTTCCTGAAACAGTGGTATTGACTTCACCCAGACCTCTGGTCTGAGCCGCTGTCCTACGAAGAAACTGAATTCACAAAGGTGTTGGGAAAAAGGTGCTGAAAAGCTTCCAGCCTGCTTAGAAAAACAGTGCAATGATTTGGTGGGACTGGAACTACCGTAATTCCAATATCTAGGTGAACCTCTGCTGAGTTCTCCAGTCTGCTGAACTAAGTGCTACATATTTGTTCATGCTTATTTTCTACAGAGCAAGGTCTCTCAGCTGTAGGACGACCACTGTGCTGATTGCTGTGATGCTTGGCAAGCAAACTAATACAGGGAAATTAATGCTGCAGGCCTGCAGTGATACTTATAAAATCAAGAAAAAAAAGGGTTACCTTCTCAGGCACATAATGGCCATACAATGTCACATCAAATGCTTGACATAATTTTATAGTGAAGTGTGCATGCTTCTTAGTCTACATCAGAAACAGGGCTTGGTTTAAAATAACAGGAATGAGAAACAACAATATCCAATCTAATCTCAACTGTCAAACAAATTGTGCTGAGATGCTGGGCAGAATCACAGTGTTCTCCTCTCTTTAAAATGAGGCACTAATAGTGACCACATGACAATTTTGCCATTAGGTTTACAGAAAAGAAATAACAATTATCAGTCTTCAACAGCCACTAAGTGATGAACATGCAAAATTTTAATGTTAGTATGAATATTTAAGCACTTTCAAATTAAGATGAGGGTGACAAATGCTGAGGGGAGACAGAATAGGCAAGATTTGGTAAAATCCTAGTTATATGAAGGAATGTGCTCATTTACAACAAATAGCAAATATTGTGATGTCACCTCAGTAGTGTTTACTAAGTGAGAAATACAAAGCAGAGTCCTGAGTTTTGCTCTCTTAGTCACCTGTATTTGGATGAACTTTGAAGATTAAGTGTCATTGTGGAAAGCAGAATTTATGGTTTTAACTGCTAAGGGATATCAAATGGTCATCAGGAGAACTTGCCATTTATTCTGCTTCAACACCGATGCCTAATTATACTTCATAGACAAGCCCAGCCAGATTATTGAGAAATGCAGATTTTAAGGACTTTGAACAAAAATCTTTACATTTTCTATCCAGTTTATTCATCTTTTCAAAGCATTTTGGATAACACACCAGAAAAATATAGTTTGAGAGTCCAGATAACTCTTGTATTCAGTTTCTGTATCTGACTGAACAGGAATTAACCGCACTTGACAGGAGCTTCAAAATATTTTAGAACTGTCACAGAGCTGATCCTCATTATTTAAAGCTAGCAAGGTTGGTTCCACCAAATCTACTGGTGATGACCTATAAAAAGGGCCTTAACGTCCATCAGAAGCAGAGTGACTGGGAACCCCTCTGCCAGAGATCTGTCACACTGGGCCACAGCCAAGCCTGCTAGGGACTCATTCCAGCGCTTTCCATTGCTGAAGCACTCCTTTAGAGAGGGAGACATAACTATTTCTCCCAAATGAGTCAATTAAAAATGATCTGCCAACCCCAGATGTTGGGCGTAGCACAGAACAGAGCTAATATCAAAGCCAGAACCAAACAAATGAACTGTTCTACAAGTCCCCTGGTGCCAAGCACACACATCCCTGATGAGCTTTGGCCAACACTGACACCTGAGGGAAAATTGGGAAGCGAATGCAATACCTGTCAGGAAGGTGTGTGAAGGAAGGGTCACCAACTTTAGGGTAGGTGAGGGCTCAGAGTGCGGGAAGGGGTATTCTTTTGCTGGAGAATTTAAAAAAGAAGTTGCTGTCAAGGGTTAAAAATAATCAAGAAAAATAGAGAATAGGCAAGAGTTAAAATGCAAAAAGAAAAAAAGATAATATGTAAACAACCCAAATAGTGGCACACCGTTGCAGAACAATAAGAAGCAGGTACAGGGCCAAATAAATGTCAAGCTTTAGTTAATCACATTCCCCCCCCCCCACCCCTTCTCCCTTTGTCTGTCAGCATCTTAGGGAGTGATCCTGAGCCACCCTGAAAAGTGCTCCCAGGGACACGCAGAGGGAGCTCAGCACCTCACAGGAGGGCGCTCAGCATCTTGCTGAGCAGGGCTGACAAAAGGGATTATGATGAAGTGTTCTGGGCAGGGGCTTACTGCTGTACTCATCTGGGTGCCAGATAAGCAACTCACAACAGCTGTACCACAGGCAATCACAGAGACATTTCTTGCATAAAGAAACAAAAGGTGAGAGAGGGACACACATCCTAGTTTTGCAGGGAAATAAGTTGGTGCCTGATACATCAGAGCAATTGTTAAAGACCTGTACATCCTTCCTTGAGGGCGGATTACTAGCACGGTGCCAGGGCTAAGGAAAGCTCAAGTTATGCACGGTGCACTGGGTAACACTCTCCTAACATTTTTCATACATTGCGTGTGGCGTGAATGGTGTAACTTGCTTGTTTGGAGCAGATCCTCCTGTCTTCTTCTACCTTCTCTGCTTCTCTGCCTCCCTCTGAACATCTTCCCTCCTCCTCCCCATTGCGTACTTGCCAAGTGTCCTGTTGTATGACAATAAATCCATGTGGGTGAATGCTCGTTGCTCAACATGTTCAAACAGGGGAGCTGTGCTCTTCCACTTTCCCCTTTACAATTACATCAAAGCAAAACAAGAACAAGACACATCTGATTTGCGAGGCAGAGGGCCTCTGCACGTGTCACTGAACTCTCTCATCTGGGGACACGTGGCTCAGCCATGATGCTCACCTGCTCTGAGTAGTCATTGCCATCAACGTCGTCGCTGTTGGAATGACCTCCCGGACTCTGTACATCTATTCCATGGCTCTCCAGGATTGCTGCTTCTTCGAAAAAAGCAAATGGATCCCTAATTTATCTGATGCATTAGAGTAATTAAAAGTTAGCTAATTTTTCAAGAAGTTAAAATAACTGGAAGAACAGAGTTAGTTCTTAGACTCTTCCTCTTCACTCTCCAGTATTTGGGAAGGTGGCACATGAACAGATACTGGTTTGCCTGAAATCCTTCCCTGTCAACTAACAGACTTGTTTGCGAGTAAGAATCCTTGTTTTCCAGCCAGTCCTATTAGAAATTAGCTTAATTTCTAATGCACTGGAGTGGCAAAAGCATTCCCTGTAGATCTTCCCACATAGTTTGGACTGGCAGGACTTGAGGGGGCAGGGAGTGTCTGAAATAGATGGAGAAATTTTTAAAAGCACTTAAGGGATTTAAAAACAATACATCTTCATCTTCCAGTAGGATCTATGCATCTAAAGCTCCCTTTAGATCTTTTCAATCGCCTTCCAACCCTCCTCCCCACACATAACATAACAGTACAGATAAAGCTGTAACACCACCAACTTTGGACTAACTTTGCTCCCCCTTTGTTCCCCTTTTTCTTTGTTCCCCCCCCCATTTAGACAGACAGGTTTCATTTTTGAACAGTAAACGTAGATCAAATTTCAATAACATGCTACATCTTGTAGAAAGAACTTTTTCATCTTCACAAATACGACAAAAAGCAGCAAGATGGCACTTCCAACATTTGCAAAAATAACAGTTAACATGCAGATACGGGCCTTATTTTGCCTACATGTTGCAAACTCAGTTCTGCACAGTACTTAGACTTGTGCATAAAACTTTGCCCAAATGGCAGAAGTTTGTTGGGTCCCGGCTGCTAATGCGAGTTTATTCTCATCAGAATGCCTTGCATTTATCCATATGAGAAGGTGTATTTCTTGTCAGTTCAGCATCACTACTTATTTCCTTATGATGAGGCATTCAAGCACAAAAGGCCTGCAGGGCTAGCTTCTGCTTCATTCTGATCATCAAGGAAAAATATTACTTTCTTCCAGCCACTCAATGCTGTACAACCCCATGGAAAGCAGTAGGGAGCACAGGTGTAACGTGTATAGGAAGTTGTCTTGTGCAACCTTTGGTCCCTGTGGCTGAATCTGAGAGGTAAAACAACTCATCTGGCCTCTTAGATCCCTGTGGGGTCTGAGGGGTGGCAGTAAGAGAGACAACCCTGGGTTTTGGCAGAAAAAACAAGTGCATTTCAGTGGAACACGGACACAAGGAAACTTACAACCATATAAAAGCTCCTCACTACAACCACTTCTCATTTAAATGGTACACTAAGGTTCTGAACTTGCAATAGTCTCAATTTCCCTTGTTTTCAATGCAGACGTTTTCAGGTTTTATTTCAGATTGTATCTGGAATGCCCAGGTGAGCCTGAGTACAGGGAATGTGATTCTCTCTCCACAAACTAAATTCTTGTTTGGGTTTTAAAAACTGATCTTCCAATAAAACTTTGTGACTGTCTCATTTTTCCTGCATCAATGATGGAATTTCATAAACTAAATTCCTACCTGTATTTGAGAAAAAAATCTGGAAAAGCGTTTCTTCTTCTTAAAAAATTGCCCCACATTTCTATTATCAGAACCTCTCGTATTTTCAGTAAGGCAATCTTGTGTAATTTTTATCTCTCCTGAGCAAGTCAATGTACTGAACCTTGAAAGCAGGCTCTCTGATACATTACCGATATTGGCTCGTCTCTTGATTTCCTTTCTTCTGTTGGCAAACCAGTTGTACACTTTAAGGGAGGTAACTCGCTCCAGATCTGATAATTTTTTTCCTATAACAATAATGGAGGGGAAAAAAAAAGATAGGCAGACTACCCTTGTACAAGTGGTGAACTGAAATATAAACAGCACTGAAAAGTTGTTAGAACTGAGAATGAAGCGAATTTTATGTGAATCAGAGCACTGTGCTCAGATGCTATGGTAACAAATGCCAAATATCTCTCAAAAAACAAAGTAGCCTTTCTTCTGTTTTTAAAATCTGAAATACACAAATTTCTTTGCTGCTTCAATCAACCAAATCCCAAGCCATGGGAGAATAGAGGGCTCCTTTTCTAGTTCAAGCACAAAACTGAGATTCAAAAAACTCAAACTCAGTCCACAGCCCTGCCATAAATCCCATACCCTTGGGCCAGCTCTCTTACTATGTGCCCCAAGGGTGCAGTTCAATGACATGTTTTCTTTGGTTGCAGCAAAATGAATGAAGGAATTTTGTCTCTCTTCTATCTGCTTCCCTTCTTCTCCACCAGCAGCTGCTATCGTATTCCCACAGCACTCATCAGAGCCTCTCCATTCTGCCAGGACACTTTTTATCTTCTAGGAGATGGGGCAGGGGATGTTGGAAACCAGACCACTGGAATGTTACACAATCAGCAAAATAAACAATCCTAATAACAACCACCCAGCTACAGCAAAGAACTCCTTCGCCTGATGACTGGCCTAAAAAGGGAAGACAGGGGAATCAGCATTGCAGAGGGATGATGGAAACCTCTTAAGCTAGCTATAAGACTATCTGAGGTGGCTGATATAGCTGCACATTCAGTTCCCTGCAGTCTGCACAGGGATGAGACCTCACTGTGTGCTTCTTACTTTCTCAAAGTTTATTTATTCAGCATTTCATACACTTGCATAATTACAGCAATCAGCATCTGCAAACTTAAATAAGAGAAATGGAATGAGTGAACGAAATAAAATTCTGGAAATAGATACTGCTTCCTAATGCTCTGTACCAGTACCACTCACAGCATTTTACTAATCCTCAGACACAGTGCCTTGTCCAAAGCTGCTGAACAATCCAGTGGCATTGCCAGCCCTAAAATCCTAACCTCTTCAGCTCTCTACCCCCTGGATCCTTTTGCTTCCACCGTGAACAGGCAAGAGGCAACACGAAAGCTGAAACAAGGGTAATTCTGACTAGCATTTAGAACAATGCAGGAGAGCAATCACCACTGCAAAGGGCCCAGGGAGGTGGGAACACCTCTGGTTTTGGAGCTATTCAAGAATGAAAAAGGCAAAGGCCCCTGAACACCTTACTCTAAGATGCTTCTGCTTGATCAAATGGTCACTTTCAAACTTAGTTAGTCTATGTTTCTGTGCTATTCTGTTCAGAAATCATGCACTTGTTTTCTTCTGCATTAATTTTTATTCTGGTTAGATAAAATATAAACACACCCACAGTACAAATTCTGAAAATGTCTGGCTCATAAACCAAGGCAACAGCACGTGTGTCCACTAATCTGGGCTTACTAATACTAAACTGAGCATTCATGCTCCTCTACCAAGCATAATTTCTCTGTGAAAAGGGAAAACGCAACTCGTTGATTCAAATACAAGTTCTCCCACTAACACTCAGATTCTAATGCAAGACTCCTGTCTAGAAGTTCCAAAAAAATCCTGGAAGGTGGGAAAGCTGTGGTTTCATTTTTCAACTTGATCTCCATCAAGCTTCAGTTTGTAAACCTAAGATTTGCCATCTGTGAAACAGAACCAAGTAAAATCCCTTTTCATGGAGTGTAATGAAATTGCCAGATTGCTCCTAAGTGCTTACAGAAGTACTTTGAAATAAGTGACCCGACCTTAAAGAATGAAAGCCTTTGAGAGAATGTTTATTTTCTTAGCAATGCCATTTACAAAGCTGTATAAATGAAATACACACCTTGTATTTCATACCTCAACTGGTGAAAAATTAAGTTTCAGATACAGGTATTTTGGTTTGAAAACTGCATTGACTTTCACGTTCATCCCATTATTGGCAGCTCTGAAGAAGGCAGGGCAAAGAAGGCTTGAGAAGAGACCTACTGCTAGTTGAGAGGGCTGAATTATTAGTAATAGCCATAAAATTACATTTACTGAATTTAGCAGGAGATGCTGAAATCTAATTGTAATTGCCTTTGGAAAGGACATCGCGATCAGCTCCTCACCTGGCTTTTGTATAACTGCATTACAGGCGTTGGCAATTTCTTCTCTCTTTGCCTCGTCAGGATATTGATTCTCATTGAAGTAACTGCAAGAAGGGGAGAATAAGAAAGTTTTTTTCAGAAACATTTTAACACAGCCTCACTGGAAGGTGTCAGCTGCCTGCTTATGCACACTCCTGCAGAAGGGATACAGACACAGTGCATTTTCTGTCAACCTGCATATGCATAAGGTAATAACAGCATGCACTCATATACACACTAACTCTTTGAAAAGTTCCCAAAAGCTTCAGATAACTGAGAATATTATCTCAGCATTTGCAGCGTCACCTTGGCATTCAGAATATCACAGCAGGAGATGCAGCAAAACAGGCAACCTTATGAATATCAGAGTCATTGCTGTCAAGTGAAACACATTCTTATAAGACATCGTAGGCCATGACTCTGCTTCTTTAATTACCAGTCACCTTCTTCCCCTGCATGCCCCTGAGACAGTGTCCTACAAGAGGTGTTCAGTATTCATTTTGGTCCTTGGGTTAGTATATACACACATACATATACTGCACACAAACACTCTGGGTTTAGATTGGCTGCATTATTGGCACAATAAAAGAGTAAGATGTCTAGAGTCAGACTGTATTTTTTTTTAAATCACAATTAAAAGTTTAAATCTAGCCCAAGACAAGATACTCTGAGTACAGCACATTTTAACAATATTTTCCTAAATAATTATAATTTTATTGTGCTTTATACGCAGTAAACATCCTATAAAAGTTAAACTGTTTTTTTCTTTTACTCCCTTTAAGCGCTTTAAAAATTTTAATGAACTGATTTACATTCTAGAGATCTTATCAGATCTGCATTAAAAACAACAAAAGGAGTCCTGTTTACTTCAATGGACTCTGATAAGCAAGCCATAAGCAGGGACTACTATGTTTTTCTGTAGATTGTCCATAATGTAGAATCTTAAGAATTCTTTGATCAGCTTTGATCAGCAGCAGGTTCAGATGTTGGACAGCTGCTCTAAATTTGAAAAGAATACATTTTCCTTTAATTGTAGATCATTTACTAGTGGGAGAGCTAGGCCTTCGAAGGCACTTATTATTTCCCATGGTTGTTTTTCTGCTTTGGTGGATTGGCCCCAGCACAGTTGCTCTCAATGGAAACATGCATTCTGTTCCACACAGCAATTTTTCCTCCCAATCTTTTTTGAATAAGTGGTGCTAACACAGATCTCACTCTTTCACTCCCAGCTTAAATCAATCCACTGCAAATACAAATTTTGGACATTCAGTTTGAATTCCATGTGCTATTACTACATCCTATTGTTCTCAGTCCTATTTGCAGTCACAGCTACACAAATGCAGTCCTATTTCTACGTTGCTGTTCATTGACTAAAATAAATTACAGCAGCGCAGCTAGTTGCACTATTAATGTACTGCCACTTGATTTGGTAGCTTAGGAAGCAAAGAAAGACACAGAAACAGCTCCATCCTCACTAAAAGAAGGGCAGACTGTCTATAACGCTGATTTGGACATTGGAGGTAATCATTTATATATGAACATCTGCTTCCCAGAACTTTCAGAGTTACCTCTATGGAGCAGTTCCTGAAACTGACCTGAACCCCCACCAAAAAACAGGTGAGATTTTGCCATTAGATCTGAAGAAGAGGACAACTGGTTACCCTTACTTTACTGCAAGCATTGTGCACAGCGCATTTCCAGCTCTGGCACTGTCAGCACCCTGGACCAAAGACTTTGCATGGCATTTTTAGAAGTATATTCTTTTATCTTGCAGATATATCATCCCTTCTGTCACTGTATCCTTTAAAGTGCTGTATACCTATGTAAATTCCTCTTCAAAGGTGTGGTGTGCTGCACAAAACATTTCTAGAGAAGGGAAAGTTGGAAAACAGAGTGGAAAATGGTTTTTCTAGTAGTTAGCCCAACTGACTCAGGACTATGTCTCAACAAACCCACCTACAAAACAAAGATCTCTGTTCAGAGCCAAGAACTATTTCCTCTTTCAAGTGCTACCTGATAAAGAAAAGTCAAGACTATTATTTATGTGACTATAACATGTGCACTGAAGTCCTAGTCAGGAAACCAAATCATAGTTATGCATACAAAAATTAACTCAGCAAATTTTACTACTCCAAACAGCTATTTCATAGACTCCCTTCGCTGAACATTATTTCCTTCGTTTCTAGATGCTTGTCAGAACTCAAGAACAAACTCCATGAAGAAATATCATGGAATTTGAAAAACTGATGAATCTATGTGATGTTGTAGTCAAAGCAGGTGAAGCTCTAGTATTATCACCACCATGGATCTAGCTAAACAAATCAAAGGATCTTATCTTTAAATACCTGGCCTCGTGGCCAGTGCCACCACCAGAACTTTGGGGTTTTTTTTGACAATCAAATGGCCAGGTTTGTGAGCACCAGATGGAGTTCACCTTTCTCAGAGGGGAAGAAGGGTCCTTGGGGAAAACTAGCAGTGCTGATTGGGAGGGCTTTAAGGTCTGAAAAGGGATGAGTGGGTTAGTGAGCCTTCCCATGATATAGTGTGTGATGGCTAGCTAGAGGAACAGGGTGCTAGCAAGGGCCTTGAAGGACCTGCTGCCTTGAGAGGTGCTGGCAACACTGTAGCACATACAAAATCCTATGATGATGAGGCAGTGACTGCTGGGGCAATAGGAGACAGCAACAAGGAAAATCGAGAGAAATACTTGCAGAAACTAAGAGTTATCCTTTAAGTAGGTGAAAAGACCAGCTGCCCAGCTGCTGCATCAATGTACACAGCTTTGGAAACAAACAGGAGGAGCTGAAAGCTACAGTGCTACTAGAAAAACAACAATATAGCTGCCACCACTGAAACCTGCCGGGGTGATTCCCATGACTGGAGTGTGGCTATTGACAGCTACAAGATGTTCAGAAGGGACAGATGAGGAAGAAGAGGAGGGAGTGTTGCTATCTACATCAGGAGAGAAACAGAATGTGAAGAGGTGCCCCTAAAGAACAATCGTGAGCAAGTCAAAAGCCTATGGGCAACAGCAAGAGACCACAGCAGCAAAGGGAGCCTTTCGATCAGTGCCTACTAAGGCCACTCAATGAAGCAGAGCCTGTTGATGAGGCCTTCTACCTCTAACTACAGGAGGCATCACGACTGCAAGTGCTCATCCTGCCAGGGGACTTCAACCACCCAGACATCTGCTGGAAAAGTAGCGAGCTGTAGTCAACCCAGCATGTCAACCATGCTCCTAACAGGCATTGAGCATAACTTGCTGAGCCAAGTAATTAAAGGCCCACCAAGTGGGATGCAGTACTGTACCTGTTGCTCACCAATGCAAAGGAATTGATTGGTGACAGCAGGATAGGAGGATGTCTGGGCTGTAGTGACCATGCTACAGTTGAGTTCATGTTCCAGAGGGATATGAGAAAGGCAAAGAGTAAAATCAGGATGCTAAATTTTAGGAAAGCTAATTTCCAGCTCTTCAGGGAGTTAGTTAGCAAAACACCCTGGGAAACTGTCCTCATGGGTAAGGATGCAGAGCACACCAGGCAGATCTTTAAGAAAGCTTTACGGAATCACAGACTCACAGAACGGCCTGGGCTGGAAGGGACCACAAGGATCATGAAGCTCCAACCCCCCACCACATGCAGGGCCACCAACCTCCACATTTCACAGCAGCCCAGGCTGCCCAGGGCCCCATCCAACCTGGCCTTGAACACCTCCAGGGATGGACGGGGCATCACAGCCTCTCTGGGCAGCTGTTCCAGCACCTCACCACTCTCTCTATAAACAACTTCCACCGACATCCAACCTAAATTTTCCCTCCCTCTTAAAACCATTTCCCCTTGTCCTGCTGTTATCTACCCTTTCAAAGAGTTGATTCCCCTCCTGTTTGTAGGCTCCCTTTAGGTACTGAAAGTCTGCAATGAGGTCACCCCACAGCCTTCTTTTCTCCATGCCGAACAAGCCCAGCTCCCTCAGCCTGTCTTTGCAGGGGAGGTGTTCCAGCCTTTCCTCAGTGTGCAAGAGCTCTCCATCCCCAGGTGTAGCAAGTCAGGAAAAGAAGGCAAGAGATCAGTGTGGCTGAACTGGAACCTGCTGGTCAAATTGAAGAGCAAGAAAAAAATATACAGGCAGTGGAAACAGGGACAAGTATTGTGGGAAGAGTATAAGAAAGTCAGGATGCGTAGGGATGGGGTCAGGAGAGCCACAGACCAACTTGAACTGAACTTGTAAAGGGATGCCAAGAAGAACAAGAAAGGCTTCTACAGGTACCTCAACCAGGAAAGGGAAGTCCAGGAGGGTGTACCCACCCTAGTGAGTGACACAGGCTAGCTGGTAAAAACAGACAAGGAGAAGGCTGAGGTAGTTAACTTTTTTGACTCGGTTTTCTCAGATAACTGCTCATTGCACAGTCCTCAAATGTTTGGTTTGGTAGGAGGAGACTGGGGAAGCAACGTCCCTCCCACTGTAAGTGAAGATCAGGTTTGTGATCACCTGAGAAACTTGAACATCCACAAGTCTATGGGTCCCAATGAGATGCATCAAAGAGTCCTGAGGGAATTGGCTGACGTAGTTGCCAAACCACTTTCCATGATATTTGACAAGTCGTGGTAATCAGGTGAAGTCCCTGGTGAGTGGAAAAAAGGTAACATCACAGAGAGTTCAGAGAGTGGTGGTCAATGGCTCCGTGTCTGGATGGAGATCAGTGATGAGTGGTGCCCCCCGGGGTCAGTGCTGGGCTGATACTCCTTATTACCTTCGTGAATGACAATGACAGTGGGGTCAAGTGCATCCTCAGCAAGTTTGCTGATGACACCATGCTGTGGGGTGCAGTCAATGGGATGGGATGCCATCCAGTAGGACCTAGACAAGCTGAGCAGTGGGCCCAGGTGAACTCCATGAGGTTCAATAAATCCAAGCGTAAGGTTCTGCACCTGGGTCACGGCAACTCCCACTGTCAGTACAAGCTGGGGGATGTAAGGATAGAGCACAGCCATGACAGGTTGAACAGTGGAGCCAGGTAAACCTCATGAGGATCAACAAATGCAAATGCAAGGTCTTGTACCTGGGT